GAAGTCACAGCAAGGCTCTTTCTCAATAATGTGTATCGATATTATGGACTACCAGATGATATCGTATCAGATCGAGGAACCCTGTTTGTATCAAAGTTTTGGAGATCTCTCTTTGAGATACTGAAGGTGGATATCAAGCTTTCTTCGGCTTTTTATCCTCAAATTGATGGCCAAACGGAACGGGTGAAGCAAGTCTTAGAACAATACTTAAGATGCAGCATCAACTATCAGCAAGACGATTGGACCACATATCTGTCGCTAGCCGAGTTTGCATATAACAACATCCTCCATGCGTCGACTCAATACACACCACTCTTTTCCAACTATGGGTATCATCCAAAGCTTGATTTATTGAGTCCGTCAATAAATAACAATCCAGCAGTTGAAGGATTTGCGAAACAACTATCAGAGCTTCAAAATACGTTGAAGCTTCAATTACAATCAGCTCAAGAATCCTACAAGGCATCTGTAGATAGATTTCATAATCAAGCACCTACTTTCAAAATTGGAGATAAAGCATGGCTTCCTCGACAAAATATCAAGATCAAGCGACCATGTGATAAGTTGGACTATCGAAGATTGGGACCATTTATCATCCAGAAGCAAATCAATCTAGTGGCATACCGTCTAGAATTATCGACTTCTATGAAGGTACATCCAGTCTTTCATGTTTCTCTGTTGGAGCCTTATCGAGAGTCGTCTTTTCTTGGAAGAGTGCAATGTCCGCCACCTAGTATTGAAATCGAGAACCACAAGGAATACGAGGTTGAAAAGGTGTTGGATTCACGGTGAAGGTGGAGCAAGTTGGAGTATCTTGTTCATTGGTGTAGCTATGACATTAATGAGCGAACGTGGGAGCCAGCTGAAAATCTCACCAATGTGCCACAAAAGGTACAGGAGTTTCATCAACAACATGCTCATAAACCTAAGCCAGTTTGACGATAGCTTCTTTCTGAAGCTTGTTCACTCAAGAATATAAGAAAAGGGGAAAGCACCACCAAAATTCGTAATTGATGTAGTTATTTTTTCCAAGATAAAATAGAATTTTTTCAGTAGCCATAGTTTGGTCTTCTGATATGGATAGCCAAGAGATAGATACTATGTCAGTCAGATTATCTCAACCGATTAGCTCACGAAGGCAACCCCGAGATGAAGAACCGCCTACACCACAACGACGACGAAGGATATCGAGTAATCGATCACTGGTGATTGTATTTGAGTCCGAGCCTGCTTACGATGGTCAGCCAGAAGGCATGTTTGTAGGACAATTTCACAATGAGGACACGGAAGTTCATGCTTGGTCAGAAGTTGAAGGAGTGGGCCACTACCGTTGGCTTCAAGGGCCAATGAACCACTTGTCTCGTGAACAACAGTTGGAGTTCATAACAGACGTTATGCGATAGATCTTCATTTTCTTGTGTCAGTACTGATTAACAACAACATTGCTTCTCAGAGACCTCAAAGCTAAAGAAGGGAGTGATGTTAGGGACATAATCCTTAGAACCTTCTAGAAGCTTCTTAGTTGGTAGAAGATTTTAGGGACATAGTCCTTAGAACCTTCTAGAGATAAGTTTCTAGAACCTTCTAGAAGCAAGTCTCTGGAACCTTCTAGAGGCTTCCTAATTGGTAGAAGTTGCTTGAGAAGCTTCCTAAATAGGAGTATATATTAGAATCGAGGTTGAAGAATTTTTCAGTCTCGACAACACATCTCTTGGAGCTCTAGCTCACTTCTCTAGTGTTGTTCTTGTATTCATCTGATTAATCTAGTTCTTCCCAATTCTTCTTAAACTTCTTGTTAGATCTCGAGTCTATATTTGTGTGTCTGTGACACCAAATCCTAATCCTAAATCAAATCCTAATAAAACTCTAGTAATTTCTATAACAAAATTGAACCTCAATAACTAATCAATGAACCATTGATCTTAACTCAAATTTTGCATATTTCTTAAAAACTAAGTTGAAAATAAGCACAAAATTTTTAAAAAGGATCGAAATTACTAAATAGATGATAACTTCAAAAATATGCTTGGATATTAGCCGGCCTCTTTCTCCAATCTTAATGCCAATCTCCCAAAGCCAATATCTCTCCTTTTCACCACTCGATTGATTTCGAAATTCTCATATACATAGAAAAATAAGTCTAATATCTTCTTATATAAATTTCACTCCAATCTAATAAGTAGATTGTAAGAAATCTTAAAAATCCTCACTAGATCTAAAATTCTACTTTCTAAGACCTTGACTCACTTAAAGCTCAATAATCCTCAATTCAACCGTTAGATCGAGCTAAGATTTACAACACATATTAAGCACAACTATGACTATTAATTTAAAAAAATTCACTTGAAGATCTATTACAAAACTCTTGAAATCAGTAGAAATATAAACCCTATTTTATTTCACAAAATTCAAGTCATCCAAAAACAATCTTGACTTTGTAAAGCTCTTATAAAGTCATAAAAATCCTAAATTGTCCAAAACCAATTTTCATAGAAACCTTATCTAATCTGCTATCAAATCCCATTCTTTGATTTGTAAAAGAACCTTGGAGTCTTTGTCAAGACTCAGTTTTATGCCTCAGGGTCTGATTTCAACCCTGGTTCATAACTGGCCCTCTCCAGGTATCAAATCTAGTTTTTCTAAATAAATTTTTCTAGAATTTACTCTTAACTTCCTTTTAAAGATGCCTATATCATTTATTTTTCGAATCTACTTTGTTTTGCCTTATTTATGGCCCTACAAAGTAAGTAGAAGTCACTTTTCTAAAAATGTAGTATTACTACTAAAAGTTTTACTACCTCCCTATCTTTTATCTATATTTTTCTACTTTATCTTTTAACTTGGCTCTTCTATAATAAGATCCATATTATCATCTTTTATCATATAGTCGTGTTACAATATGACACCAGAGTCTATGAAGATCTACCTTATATTTCATGTATTTCTCTTTGAATCATATAAGACAATGAATATCTTAAGGAAAAGACAAATACCACTTCTTCCTATATAAATAGATAATAATCAAGAATTTGAAGTAAAAGAAGTCTTATATTCAAGGCGACACCAAAATAAGTTGGAATATCTTGTATGTTAGTAGAGATATGATATTAATGAATGTACATAGGAGTCAGCAAAGAATCTTGCAAATACAACAAAGAGAGTTGAAACTTTTCATAAATGACATCCATCAAATTCAAGATGAAGAATAATAAATCTTTGCTACAAAATAAATAAGATCAAAAGAAGATAATACTCTTTTTTTTAGCTTGTGTATATTGTAATTGTCACAATCTTTAAGACGACATAATTGAGATGAAGGTCTTGAAGAACAACATGTCCTTCTTCAAATAGATGGCAAGATACAACGTGCTTGATATCACAACCTTGAAAAAGAATCTTGATGTTTGATGATTTTATTAGAGATAGGAATAACTCTTGACCATTTTTTAAACATTTTATTTGAAAAAAGTTACAAAGGCCTCAACACTTATCAAATAATAAGGTGGTCTTCTTGCCTTGATATGGGATACTATTGATGGCTGAGAGGACCTATCAACTATCTTCAAAGAGAATAAAGATCAGAATATGTGGTAATACAATTCATTGTATCTTGAATTTCATCAATATATGATGATTGCTCCTCGTAGAACTTATCTCTAGAAGAAAAGGTAATGTCACGAATATTCATATGTATTCTAATAAATTAAATAGAAATATATAAAAGTAAATAAAAGTAGGTTAACTTTATAATATCTTCTAGAAAAGCTTCCTCAAAGCTTCATAGATGTTGCTTTTACTTTATATGTGTTTATAATTGATTGATAGGTTAGAAACTTGGTCAACAAGTTAACTACATGTTGATAGCTTGCAAAACAAGCTAATTATGTAGTGTATTATTTTAAAAAATTGACTTGTAAGTTAAGATACGTGTCTTGCAAAGTCAACACATTTTGGAGGTCCTATAGGACATCGCCACATAGCTCCTACTTAAGAGTATATATGGAGGTAAAAGTGAAGCCTTTTTCACTCTTGTCAATGCTTTTCTAGTCTTTAGTCTTGTTTTTAGACTTTCTAGACTTCCAATTTTTGGCTATAGTCATTTTAATTCAATGATATATCATCTTTGAATGACTTTATAGTTCTTTTCAATGTCATAAAAATATATTGAGGACTTCTTTTTTTAAGATTCTATTTCCATTTTGTCATATTTTTTTGAGAAAATCTCACTTATTTATTTGCTTTCATTGAATTCTTGTCCTTGATACTATGTCGAATTATATCTGTTTGTAGTTCATTCTACTAACATCAATTGGAAGTTTGATGGATCTTGTTTATTGTTTCAAAGTGTTGCTTTTGTATGTTCTTTGATAACTTTGTTTTCTTGGTATTTGATGTTGTGACCATCTTTCTTTCTAAATCACATGCACAAATTCTTCAACCAAAACAAGTTAATAATTTAATAAAGAAGATGGAGATCATGGCTATGATTGTAATGATGGTTTTTGGAGATAATCCATTTTTCTTATGATGATTAGAATAGAGTTGGTCAATTTAGTAAATGAACTAGTCATTTTAATATTTTGCTAGTTAGTTAGTTAGTTAGCTAGCTAGCTATCTATCTATCTTGAATTAATTGAAAAGTAATCTCACAACAAATTTATTTATTTATTTCACACTATGCTATTTTTAATTCAATTCAATAGAAAAAAGAGAAGCTTAGTTTATTTATGTATTTGTTCATGTCACAAATTAAGATGATCTTTGGAAAGTGTATAGGTCAAGCACTTCATGGGTACCTTTGAGTGAAGCAAGCACCCAAAGATCCAACGAATCGTCTAAGGCACCTCAATCGTCACCTAGAGTGTCACCTCATTTGACATTCCACTTGTGCCCATGAATAGGACACCTCCACTGGCAACTCGATCGACGTTCCGCTTAAGCACCCGATTTGGACACGTCATTTGAGCACCTCAGTTGGGCTAGGGTTTAAGGATCGGAGACCTCATGAATGCGGCTGCCAGTGTGTTTGTCGTGCCTCGGCCCCTTGTTCCAGTCGCAGCAAAGTCTTGGGTTGCATTTCCACGCGATCGGCAGGAGCAATTTCAAAGCAGTAGCAGCGGCAGCAGTTTATTTCTTCGCTATTTAGGGGTGATTCAGTCTGTTGATTTGTCGAACGATACTCAGGGTTTAAGTTTTGGGGTTTTAGTTTTCGATGGCTTTCCTAGCGCAGCTCGGAGGCTTGGTGCGCCAATCAATTGCACGCAACGCGTTGCAGCGGCACAGTGGTGCTGCGGCCATTCCTGCTATGTTTCTCGTTTCGAGGGGCATGTCTGGCTCGAAACTCTTTGTGGGCGGTAAGCGCAGCCTGAACTTTGGTTCTGAAGCGAAAATTAGGGTTTTCTACTTCTTGATTAAGTTGTATTAGTGTCAGTTTCTTGTTCAGTAGAGAAATGGATGCCATTTTGTAATCACAGGGTGCATATCATGGATTTCTGGATTGTTGATGATGTGATTACGGCGCTATTAGTCTTTGAATCCCATTTTCGTATCCTACACATACTTTCGCTTGCTGTTCAGGTCTTGCATGGGGAACCACGGACGACAACATCAAGGAGGCGTTTTCAGCTTTCGGAGAAGTGACCGAAGGTATGAACGTGATTATCTTAGTCTCCTATCTGTTTGTGTTAATCTTTTTCTTGACAAGAGATTTGCACGTTCAGTTTTTAACAGTCATACAACATGATTCATATCAGCAGTTGCACTGTATGTTTTTGGAAGTTCTTAAAGGCCTTTGTCCGGAATTTTTCAGCTGGAATTCGCTTGACTGCAGAAGTGTAGTTGCATCTTCGGTTTAGGTGGCAGGTTATTCGTATCCAATGGTTTAATATCTATTTAACTTGGATACTTACTTGTTTGCTTAGAGAAATGTCTCTGTTCACTTCGTCGGTTTTACAAGAACGCAGCCTTTCGTTGGCTACAAAGTTTGACATTTAAATGTTTTGTTTGTCTGTTTGTTTGTATGTCCTTTGGTCTACAGTTAAGATTATTTGCGACAGAGATACCGGCAGATCCAGGGGCTTTGGGTTTGTGACTTTTGCCACTGATCAGGATGCCGAAGCTGCTCTTCAGGCACTGGACGGGCGGGTTAGTAGTACTTCTTTTGTTCGATTAACTCTATTCCGGGTTCTGTATTTTCTTAATTGCTTGGATATGCACAGATAAAGAAATCCTGCTTTTGTTTTCCTTTTTTTTGCGGAAATTCTGCGCTCGGCATTGCTTCTTTGAGAGGCTTTTTTTCGAGAGGTTGACTGTTTTGTGGTAAAAATATGTTCACAGGACTTGGCTGGTCGCACTATTCGAGTGAACTACGCTACCAAGCAGTCACCACAGGACAGGCAATCGGGTGGTGGTATGTACGGTCGCCGTGACCACTCAGGTGGTAACAGTGGCAACTTTGGTGGGAGCGGAACCTGGAGGGGCATGTAGGGGCCTTGAGAAACGGTGTGTGCCAGTGTCGCCGAGTGTTCGAATATTTGGTGGTTTCAGTAGTATGTTCATCTTCAATTTTTAAAGCTTTATTTCATTTAGATATGCCCTTATGGAATATTGTATGCAGTAACGAAGAGATCAGGGATAAAAGGAATTAACTGGAGGCTTCAGAGTAGTGATAGGTTAGGGAGCGTTCTGCATTGCATTTGAAGGATTGCCGCGAGTGCCTTAAGTGTTCGATTGCCAAAGGAACTGGAGTTGTTCCGGTCATCCGATAAACGCTATCAGCACATCATGTTAAGTAATTTTTGTAATTCCCTCTTGAGTGTCTCCATCGAGGGAGAAAACACACCTTCAAACATTTGATCCATAGTTAAGATATGACTTGGTTCGCATGGCTAGTTGAAATAAAGTTTCAATTCTTACTATTATTCTCTTTCTATAAAGAGGCGGTTATTTTCATCACTGGAAGATCATCCACTTGAATAAAAATAAAGCTCATTCATTTAACTTCTGCATCAAGTTTCTCATGGAGTACGTTGCATTTGTAATGGTAACCTTAAGCACAAGACTTCATTCAATAACCATCTTGATGTTTACAGTCGCAACATGAATTAGGCAGATGTTTTTAAAAGATATCAGAAAGTGACACTTGACCAATTCATATTCCTTCCGAAGCTATTGTGTATTTAGGATGCTTTTACAATAAGTTTAGCAGAAACGACATCAGGATTAATATCTTGTTGAGTGAAGCATGTTCTATTTAATTTTTTAATTTTTTTCTTTTCTTTTCTTAAAGCTTGATTCAAAACAGGGTATATGTGATACTTAGATTTTAAATGTGTATATGCAGAATCAACCAGCTTACATGCTGAAATCTTGGTCTAGTACATGTGAGTGCAATAAACATCAACAATGTGCAAGACTATCTTATGTGACCTTTTGAACATCTATGCATAATGATACTACTTTGTGGCATTCTTTAGTTTCAATTCAACCACATTGAATCTAGACACAATCATGTTTTGTGACATCTATGTTTTATTCTACTTTATTAGGAGAGTTAACTTACGTCTAACATTTGTTTCAATCTTTTTATTGAGGTTTTCTATTTGAATAAGTAAATAAAAGTGAAAGTAAAATAAGTTACATTGTGGAAGTTATTACTTTAGGTAAATTACTATTGATCAAAAGGTGGGCTCTTGGTATGTAGGAAGACCAAGAGATAAGATAGATGAATGGACAAAAGAACTTAAGGATATAGAGAATATGTTAAAAGCATATTTTTATAGTAGATAAGATAGCTATGGATAGTTTCGGTAGAATGTTAGATGGATATATTTATCAAAGGATGGAAGTTGCCCATTAGGACAATAACCACTACTTGTAAGTAATGGATGTTGGAAGTGAGAGATATCTTACTCCTTACTCTCTTTATGAGCAACCTTACTGATACTATGTGTTGGTGACTTCAAAGTTTTTTTTCTTCAATAGGTTATAGGTCATTTCATCTTTAATTGTGAGTTTTGAAATTCTTTGAAGTCTTTCTTGTTGTAAAGAATAGAACTTATGATTGTAGGTGTTAAGATTTGATATCTTCTAAATTCCTTTTTGTATCTAGTTGTTGATATAGTTTTTCTTTTATCAATTGTTAAGTGCATTCATTGTATTAGAAGATATCAGTCACCTTAGAATGATGTTATAGAACACTAATATTATATTTCTTTACTAAGTTACATCATTGGTGCACTAATATTGTACTTTTGTGTGCTGAATTTCTTAAGAGGTTTTTTAATAGTGATAAGAAGATATTTGTGAAATTAAAAGTGTTCTTGTAAGAGTTGAGAGTGATTAAAAAGTGAAATCACTAGTTTACTCACGAAAGAGGCATAATGGATTTTTAAGGCAACAAGATTTTATTTATTTATTTAGAGTTTTTTTTTTTTTTTTTTTTTTTTTTTTTTTTTTGATTTTCTTTGATACACTTCTTCATTAGACATGGCTTTAAATGAAGGTGAGGGTTTGAAAGTGATTGAGAAGTTTAGAGGTGACAAATCTACCATTGGAAGAAGAAAATAGAACTTATGTTGATTTTATTGGACCGTTAGAATATTGTTGATGAAAATAAAGACCTTCTAAGCAATGATGCTAATATCAAGATAAAGAAACATTGTGAAAGAAAGGCTTTTGGCATAATTGCATATAGGCTTATGTGTTTAGAATTGCATAAACTTATATCGCATGGTTGTAAGGTTCAATTTAAAATGAATGGATGTTTTGTAAAGACATTGGATGGACAACATGTTGTTAAAGACCTAAAAAATGGCAACCTTTATTTCATCAATTGTAAAAAGGTGAATAGAATTGAAGTGGCCTCATTTGCTGAGTTTCGACAAAATCAAGACAAGTTTGAAATTCAACATCAATGATTTAGTCATTTGAATGCCAAAAGCATGAAGAAACTCATACCTATAGTAAGTAGCTTGGATCTTGGTGAATTTAGCGATAATGTCATGATACTTGCTTGTGAAGATTGTATCTAAAGTAAACAACAAAAGGCTTTATTTCAAAGAGGAGTTACAATATATGCTAGCAAATTATTGAAGACTGTGCATTGTGATGTTTTTAAACCAATGACAATGCCATCAATTGGAGGAGTAAAGTACTTTGTCACATTTATTGATGATTTTTTAAGAAATGTGGATTTACATCTTTAAAGCCAAGAGTGAGTGCTTCTCAAAGTTTAAGGAATTCAAGGCATTTGTAGAGAAAGAATGTCAGTGCAAAAACAAAGCATTGTGCATAGATAATAGAAGTGAATATATGTCAAAGCATTTTGATGATTTTTTAAAGATTCATGGCATTGTAAGATAAACCACTATTCTTTACATTCTACAACAAAATAGAGTTGCTGAAAGATCAAATCACACCATTATAAAGATACTAAAGAATATGCTTGAAGTACAAAACTTTGAGTACTAATATTTATGGACACATCTCCAATTTCAATAAAATAAAATAATAAAAAAAAATGATGACAATGAAGATGGTGGAGGTATGAGTGAAGATGAAGAGTCAAAGTAGGTAGATCAAAGTGTGTCTACAATTACTAGAACAAGTAATAAAGACAATCAAAATGTTGAAGATGATGATAATAATAAGTATCAACCATTAACTATGAAGAAACAAGCTTTAAGAAAGAAAAAGGTTATAAGAAATCTTAGAGTGCAAGAAGGTAAATCTTCATAAAAAAAAAAAGACATATCCTTTGAGTGATAGAAAACAACTTGGTAATTGTTAGATGAATCACATCTTTCCTTAAATAAATGAAGAACATGCCAATGTTATATTTCTTGGTGGTCCATTGAATTTGTGTGATACAATGAAGTCTAGGAATACTATGAAATGGGAGAATGGTATAAAAGAAGAGTACAAATCACTCATGGATCTTAGAACATAAAAAATGACTCAACTTCCATCAAATCAATCTTCAATTGGTTGTAAATATGTCATGAACATATACATGTTTTCTAGTTCATATCCTTGATAGATTGACAAGAATACACTTATAATATTAAAGCTTCATCTTCTTTTGATTAAGAATAGATTAGTTTTTTTTTAAAAAAACAAAATTTAAACATATTAGGAGTTACAAATTACCTTCTTTTAAACTAATATTATCTTTAGTATTTTATTTTATTTTATTTTATTTATTTTAAAGTCTTCTCTTCTATTTATCTTGAGTGATATTAGACATCTTTTCTTCTTTAAGTATTATCATGGCAGAGCTTGTTGAAATGAAGAGAGCAATGGCACAAATGTAAGAGCAATTGAAGAAATTAATGCTTGTGATGCATCAACTTAGTTTATCACCACAAGAAGCAACAAGAATGGCAGGAAGTGAAGATATAGATATGATTGGAGCTACTTCAATATGTGCACCAAATCAAGTTCCTTTTCCAATGGTAGAACATCTTTTTGGTACTAGAGAACCTAGAGTTATATTGCTTGAGAAGTTTGATGGCTCAAAATTTAATTTTTGAGGATTTATCAATCTAATATAATTTGTAATTGAACTTCAATCCCAAAGCTATCCAAATCCAAGATTATAAGCAAGATTCATTGGTATACTTTCTAAGTGTAAAATTCACTCTTTAATCTAATTACAAGATGGCCTTAATTAAGAGTTGCTTGTAATGGGTGGTGTAAAGTAAAAGTAGTAAGAACAAGAACAAAAGAAGAAAAACACAAAATAAGTGGAACAAGTACAATCAAGCAATTATACATTATAAAACTAATCATAGTCTGTTTATTGAATTTTTATCCAATAAAAAGTAAAAAATATATTTTTAAAAATTTAATTTTTTATCTTTTCAATGATATAAGAAACATATAAATCCAAATTTCTATAAATAAATTATAAAGGTTTAAAAAATAACAAGTAAATAAATAAAAAGTTAAATAAATAATTTTTACCTTAAGAGTAACTTGCTTAAGAGATCAAGAGTTCGATCCTTAGCAAGGTTCATAAGTAGTGTATATAGGTTCCTAAGACAGGCCACGAGGTCTTAGTCTTATCTTCCTAATTACCTTCAAAGAGCTACAATCCATATGGGACTTGCGCACCTCCCTTCTTACAAGGACTACACTAGCTGCTAGTCCTCCTACTTTGTACTAGTAAAATCAATAATTTTATATTTTTGACTTCACCATGGTGTTTAAAAATATCCAATTAGTATAGAAATTTGATGTGGCCTTCAAATCTTACTCCATTTCTTCATAATGGCTTCCAAAGTGATAAAACTCATTTTTATCAAAGTCTTAAAAATTGCTCTAAAAATTCTCAAAAAATTCTAAATAAAATTTAAATAAAATATAAAAATTTCTATAATATTTTTTAATATTAAAATAAATTTAAAGCTACACTTTATTACCTTTATAATTTTTTATAGTAACAAAATCAATTTAAATCTACTATAAATCTACTATAAACGTCTATCTGAGCAAGAAAAGACTTATTGCTATTAAAAAAGATTGTGCTTATATTATAGAGAATCTAAGTACACTGCTCAACATCGTCCAAAGAAGCAACATAATTATAAAATGAGGAGTACAAACATCAAAGAAGACAATATATTAGAAAATGAATTTATTTAGTTACAATAGGGACCATGCGGGTGGAACCTTGTATAATACCTAATGAAGGTCCTATTCTGTCATCAAAATCCTCTCTTTATTTTATATTAAATATTATTTTAGGATCTAAATATTATAAAGCCTTTTTCTTATTAGATTCAAGAGCTTCAACATGTTTCTTACATGAAGAATTAGCTAAAAGACTTAACATATTTTTAGTGAAAAAAACTAAACCTATTCATATAGAAGACATAGATGGTCATCCATTGTCCTCTAGAGATGTTACTCACAAAATCTTTCCTATAGAAGTAATAATTAATGGTCATAATAGCTTTGTGATATTTAATATTATAAGATTTTTTTCTAATCTAATC